TTGTGATTTTTCAAAGTTTACAAATCACTAGAGGGGGAGTAGTGTTGGGATAGTAATCTAACTAGCCTATAAATGTAATAAAGGCCCATGAGGCCCAAATACAAAGGAGCATATGTAATTTTCAACAAGCTTACAAATCATTGGAGGGGGAGTAGTGTTGGGATGGTAATCTAACTAGCCCATAAACGTAATAAAGGCCCATGAGGCCCAAATATAAAGGAGCATATGCATGAGTCACCATGGAGCTCATACACACTTAAATGGATCCAAAGGGATCAATAGAAGTGCAACACGCGTAAAGCACTCCCAAGAAGTCTATAAATACCCCCACACCTTTTAAAGGTAAGGGACTTCTCTGAGAGCTCTTTTCTCTCTATTATACTTTTATCTCTATTATACTTCTCTCTTTAAAGAGAGCCTCAAGTATAGAATATTACTAACTTGGGCATCAGAGTGTCTACCCTGAGAGATAACCCTTGAGTCTGTTTTGCAGGTCCTTTCATTGGTCAACTCGTGATCAACTAGAACTCATGAAGTTGCCCAAACACTATGTAAACTTTCATTTTACCATTTGAATCTAAACCAAATCTAACTTTTTTTTTCCTCAAAAAAAATCCCAAACCCATACTTAAATCCATAGAATTTGTGGCAATGCTCAAATCCCCGCCAAACTTCAAACATAATTTACCTTTTAATATCTCAAAATAAAACAAGAAAATTCCAGAAAGATCAACAAATAAAAGATCCTCATGAGCTATCCCAGTCTATAGATCTACCATCATGGCCACCCACCTTGATGGAGATCTTCAAAATCACAATCTAGATCTATCAAGACAAAGCCATTTTCTTCCATGGACCAACCCATCATGAGATTAGATTTGTCGACCAACAACAAGATGTTGGGTTCTCATAGACCCAAATTTCTAGGTTTCAAGGGACCCAGATCTAGGTTCTGATGAACCTAGATGTTGGGTTTGGATCTAGATTTGAAGGAAAATAGTAGCCGAGTTTCAAAGATCCTGAATTTCTAAGTTTAAAGGAACTCAAATTTGAAGCTTGGGGGTTCTAATGAACCCGAATGTGAAGCTTGAAACTTTGTTTTCTTTGTCATGTCTTGTGATCTTTCTACAATAAAAAGCGCATGAAACATTTTCGTTTCTTTGGAAAATGGATTTCATATTTAAGTGTGATAAGAAATATACGTGTCGTGCTCATAAAAAGAATTTGAAAAAGGTATTAATTTAATTTAAGTAGCCTGCAGTTTTTATAAATAAATTTTTAAAAAGATTTATCGAGTATTTATTTAAAAATATAAAGATATCTTAAAAGATTTATTGAGTAATTATTTGGAATTTATTGAAGATTTTAATAATTTTTATAATATAATAAGATTATATAGAAAATTAATTTAATAAAAAATTATATATAAAAAATTTTATTCATTTAAAATCTATGATATTTAGTACATCAACTTATTTGATGTCAAATAAAAATTATATTAAAAAATTTTTATAAAAAAAGTATCTGTATAGCACTATCTATATATATATTGTACCTATGAAAAAAAATTTGAAAACGTATTAATTAAATTTTAATGGAATTTCAACCTCTTAATAGATTTTCTCTAAAATTTTCATTAAATATTTATGTGAGATCTTATAAAAATTTTAGAAATGCCTATTGAGTATCCTATTGATATTTTAGTGAGATTTTAATTAAAATATAAATTAATATTAATTATAATATTAATACTAAACAAATAAATTTAATTAAATAATTAATAAACTAAAAATTAATTTTTATTTTTGATATATATTTATTACATTTTTAATTTATATATTTAAAATATAAATTAAAAAATCTTAATTATCATTTTTAAAAAATATTATACTGGCTTGCTTACTTGTTAGTAAAGAAGTAGGTAGGCATCACATTTGAATA